AGAAAAATTCATCCGCATTTATTTTTTGTGTGGAACACAAAAAAAAATCAAATTTCAGTCTTATTTTACATTTTTTTCATTCTTAGGAATGTCTAAATTCATTTAAACTAGCAATTCCGTATTATATTTTTAAATCTTTATAACATTATACAAAAATTAGATTTTTCTTAAAAACTGAAATTTTGCCGGGAATGGGGCTTTAAAGGGATACTTTTTTTGGTCCCGAATGTGTCCCCTTAATAGGGGTTCTACTGTAAATTAATATTGTACTTCATTTAATACATCACCTTAAATTAACTTTTTTCAAACAAAATTCATACACTACCTAGATTGTGTTTGGTGGGCCGGTCGAGACCATTGATGGTTTCAGCCATGTTTCCTGTGCCATGCAAAAAAACAAGAAAAACAAAGACACCACCATGCCATTAATTATGCCCACCATGAGTTTTCAGCAAAAGCATGAAATGACCAGATAATTAAACATGCAAAAAATATATGGGCTTGCCAAGCCAAAACCAACATTAATGATCAACACAAGAAAATTGACTTTTTAACACATTCAAATTCTCCAATTTAAAATAATGGCTCATTTACTGAATTGACTTATTATTGCCGAAGTTTTGAGTAAAAGTATTATGGCTTCTCTGTCCTAAGGAATACAATACCATATTTTTACAGTATGCTCATTAATCAGTTTAATATTTAGTGACAGTATGCTGGTAATGCAATGGCAAGCCTCATATTATGTATGATCCATGATATATGCAAAAAAGTAAACATAGAAAGCCGGACACACACTGTGTCAGCTGACATGATTTTATGAGACCGTAACATAACAAGGTGCACATGCTACAAATTGTTTTAAATGATGATCCTTTGAAATGGACATCAACTATCCACAGAGCGCAGAAATGGATTAGGTGTCGGATGATGTAGTGTGTGCCTGGCTTACGATCCATGAGCCATAATGTGATGAGCCATGATATACCGTACTGTAATAGGAAAGTGCACATACTGTACCATACTAATTGATGCTATAATATACAATGGTCACAGTGTCATCATGGCTACGTGGGTTCCTTTAATGGAAATTCACATATGCCGTTCACTCTTTCTACCCAATGGAAAATGTATCACCTAAGAATCAGGAAGCTGGTAGGTTGGGGGGGGGGGGTGCATCGACAGTGTTAAATCTCCCTAAGATTTGAATGACCACATTGATTTACTATGCACACATTAAGGGAAGAATTTGCAGGAAACAGGCCGGCACTGGGGCCCATTTGGATAGTTAAAAAAAAAAATGTTTTTTTAATGATTGATCACATACAATGTCTCAGAGGGGTCTAGAAAACAAAGATTTCCGAGGGATAGTGTTGTGTGTTATCTCTTGATCCACCACACCCCCCTCCCCCCCCCCCCCCCTTTTGCCCCCCCCCCTCCGCCCCCCCCCTGGTATATCTAGGGGATATCAACATGTGAGATTGATGGGAGGATGATGCTAATGATGATGAGTATCCTTATATTTAGTCTTCCTAGAGACATTTTATTTATCTAATTTGAAAGAAACAAATATCACTAAATACATTTAAAAAAAATAACGAATATATTTCTTACACCATTATTAAACTTACTACCCTGTACAATGCCATTAACAGCTCTACTGAAAGAAACCGTATGAACATTTCACCGTCATGGTTAATATCAACAATAATAATGGAATTAGTGGTTCTATAAACCTCTTTTAGTTTTTGTGTTGTCAAGATCAAAAGGAATTTACAGGGGTTATTATTATCTTTCAAGACAATGTGACATTTGCTCGCGTGTCTGGTGCAACACAAATGAATTATGTTCCATGTATTAAGCACACTTGTACAGCATTTCCGACACGTGAGCACCCTACTTGAAGAGTATGAACACGCTCGTTATGACTTCATTCTATGGAATGTGAATGGATAAAAAGTGGCTGGTAGTTAGGACAGCTGTGGCTACAACATGTGTAGCAGAGATTACGAGACCATCCTCCTAATAAGAGGCTTACGTCATCACATTAGGGAAATCTTCAGTTTCAAATTAAAACAAATCACATAAATATCAAATCTATATTATCCCTACTAAAATGAGGAAGCTGTTCAGATATTTTCTGATTCACATATTTGAATCGCATTCTGAGAGACATGTGTATAAAACATACATGTGAACTACTAACCTTTGACACAAATGCTGTGTATGATGATGCATCTAATACTAATAGTCTTTATAATGGAGATCACATTGTTTTGCGTACATCATTAAGTGAACCATACTAGCAAAATTGCAATATTGGATCATGTGAATATGTCATAGTGTGCCATTTTAATTGGTCCCATTGATAGATATAAAATATATTGGTATTTATTGCACTTGCTATACCAGGTTTCAGAGCACTCTTTCACATTATTATACTAGTCATTAGAATAATAATAATAATAATGCTGGTCTTATAGAGCGCCTAATACAAAACAATGCTTCAAAACAATCACCAAATCATTAAAAATTGTTGTTTTAACATTGAAAAATAGGGAAAATAACAGCATAGCATGATATATACAGTAGATATGTAAAGGTTAGTTTAGTGTAATAAATTAGATTTCAAAAATGTTTACATTCCAGCATGTTTTGGCTATTATCTCTGAAACAGGATTTGCGATGAGTGACTGGTTTGGCTTGTCTTTGCCACAAATGTAAGTTGAATATTCATTATGGAAGCATCTTTTCAATTTGATCATTGTTTCAATAAAGTATGAGCATCATTTCACAACTTTTCCATCTTAGAATGTGTGCATTATTTTACTATCTCCATCATTTACTATCCATCATATAGATACAATAGGCTTACAGCAGTCATTACTATTAAACCACTCTCATTATTGCTTCATGTGTCTTTATATTCATTTCTGTAACACCTGATATCGTATTATTTCACAATATTAATTTCTCAATATTTAACTCATGCCCCTATAATATGCATCTACCATTTTACTTAAATGTACCTAGAATGTAGTCTATTACTTTACTATCCTGTGGTGTACAGTATCTACGAGTATTGAAATAAATAGGATGATGGAGGCGCGAAGGGTAAGTGGGAGGGTTTAGTGATATGAGGTGATTATAACTACCGGTGCTTGAGTGTAATTATTTAGTTTTGGAAATTTTCGATGGGGCCGCTTGTGAGGTGTAACAATTTTTTGAGGGGTGTGTATCCATGTAGATAGGCAACTTCTATTATCATTCACTTGTCAATCAGTAATCAAAGAGCATCTATGGAAGTGTTTTATTATTTTTATTATAATTTTTTGGTTTAAAAATCAGGTACACAATTCAAAATTTTTATGCACAAGTTACTAATTTGTATGCTATTGCAATATGAGCTAGTTCATTTATAAAATTATTTTTTATGATTTTTTGACATTAGCAAGGAACAACACATCCTTAAAGACATTATGCATCAGAAAATTCTGTCCGAATAATATTTATGTGGATTTGATTGCAATTTTACATAAAACAATCTGACCTTTTCTTGGAAGTTTTACTTTACACATATCGTGAATGCAATTTAAAGCAATTTAATATACTGTACATTACCATCTACGTATGCTTGTTATGGTATAGTACACTGTCAAATAATATAGTAATCTATAGAATTGCGCATTTAAATTAATTTTATCATATTTAAAATTCTATGAAATAAATAAAAATTAATATAATTTATCAAAAATATATTTCTTAGCTATATATATCATTAATAAATATTTCTCCATACCATGTTTAATATTATACGATTTTAAGTATTCACAGTTGGTGACGAACGGGAAAGTAATCAGAAATATCTTTGGTTAGAATCCCAAGAGGGACAATATGCTTTCACAAAAAAATTGATATCATGTTTAAAAAATGAAGGTTTACTCTGTAAAAATTCATGTACTTGTTATGAATATAAAAACTACTACGTACCATAGCAGCAAAGCATTCTTTTACATTGTTAATAATTTTATGCATATTATAACCTCATGTAATAAATTATTTTATAATTGGCTTTTATATTTTTAATCATACAGACGTAGGTCAAAGAATAAATCGATATGAAAACCGAAAACTTCTCTGTTTAATATTTCTAAGATTTCTACTTCTCAACCCATTTCTATATTATGTTAATGTTTATTTGGATTAATTTAATGTTGCTAACTTGAATATGGAGTTTAATATTATATAATTAATGCTTGCAGTACACCACATGTACCGCAAGCATTAATTATATATTATACTTCGCCATGCAAACCTTCAAACAATATTGAGTTCAATATTAAAAGTAATGTTTACAGATGTTTCCTTATCTATTCCCCTTGCTGCCTTAGTATGTACTGTACATATACTGTATGTTCCTATTTCTCATTCAAACTAGGTCTAAATATTCATTTAAAAAATGTGGTTATAAATCTATAGCTATTAGCACTGTCTGCAAAAATTCAAAATGTCATAGACAAATTGTAATAAGACAAATACATAATAAAGGTATCCTATCGTATAATTTAAGTCAATACTGTATGATGAGCCTTTACAATGTAAATACAATTGAGAATGACGCACTTACATTGATCACATAAAGTAAATAAAAAGGGGAAAGCAAAATTCATATTCCATAATTCATTCGTATGGAACTCAACATGTACGAACTTGTGTTTACGTGCAATCCTATCTTGTGTTAACGTAGCTACTGTACATTACCGCGACAGGTGTATCCAAGGGTCAAGATTGGGTCAGATTCAGGAAATTGGACTTACACTGTGCCTGAGGGCATGAATGTGATTAACGTTGGTTATTAGACGAAATGACCCATATCTAATTCAACATGCTTCAGAATATCACAGAGGCGGAGCTTTTTTTTAGTAAGGGACTTAACACAAATGACCAGATACTGTGGCTATGTAGGAACTTGTACATACAGTACTCTACAATAGTACACTACCATTGCACATGTGTATGTACATTGCAGACACGTATAGTATGTAGAGTACATATGTACAGTATACTTCCAGCGCACATATGTGCATATGTACTGTATACTTCCAATGCACATGTGCATATGTACAGTATACTTCCAGCGCACATGTGCATATGTACAGTATACTTCCAATGCACATGTGCATATGTACTGTATACTTCCAGTGCACATGTGCATATGTACAGTATACTTCCAGTAGGTTCAAACACAGCCTGCGCTGAATACAGCTGCAAAATTATGGAATTCCCCTATGGGGCTTGAGTGTGTGTTCCATATGTGCTTGATCCAGTGATCAGGGCTTGCCCTAACTTTTTTTGGTAACTAGCCCACTGGGCTAGTTTACTAGCAATTTTACTAGCCCACAGAATATTTTACTTGCCCACAGACAGGAAAAATTTTTGTTTTAATATATTTATTAGCGACAATTAAATTTGAAGGTTGATTTGCAATTTCATAATTTCTGTAGCATTGCTGTTTGAGCTACCCTCTCAAAATGCTGTTGAATAAATAAATTAAAAAAATCACCATGCTGCAAAATCGACTCTGGTTATAACAGGGACAGATGAGCATGTTTCACATCTCCCTGGTTATAACTTTGGCTTTCTAATATTTAACAAAGGGCCCAGAAATCAATCAAACCAATGCATCTGTTAAATCTTTAGGTCTCAAGTCACTCAACCCCAATGACAATAAATCTTGCTTAGGCTACCTAGGCTAGGCTACCTAGGCCTAAGCAAGACCTAGGGCCTAGGCTAGCCTAGTCTACCTATAGCATTGTAGTACTTATTATTAAAAGTTGAACATTTAAAAAATATCATTATGAGAAAACAACATGAATATAAGGTAGTACATTAAATTAAATGTTCTAACTACCTAAATTAACCAGATTGAACGATCAAACAATCTTCTATTGAGAGAAAGATAACATGCCATCCTAGTTGGTGAATGACTTGGGGATCATCTTAATAATTAAACACTCACGCATGTGGAAGCAAAGATACTAGAAATACAAGATAGAGTTCTCCACACAAAAAAAGTGTTCCACCGTGTTCCACCGAAATGCATGGTGGGAATACAAAAAATGGGACGCCCCCTACAGCTAGATCTAAAAAAACTTGCTCCAAACTTTCGTTACCAAGTCGTCGCGTATTTTATTATCAATTCTCAACAAAGATTATTACTAGATATAAAAACAAACTGGAATAGACACCCAGACAGTGACATCGGTGAATACATAACCTCCTTGGTGGCGGTAGAAATCGTTGCTATTATCCAAATAAGCATAATCATGAATCAGTAAAGAATAAAACAACAATATAGCGCAGAATTGCATGGCCGGACGCACTCTTAGTGAAAAAGTTTTCCTCCATTAGTGGAAAAGGAAGGGCGCCTTTTGCGTCTGGATATACTTAGCAACAGAAGGGCGCCCTGTACGTTGGGCACGAAGTATAGGAAACTTGCATGGTTAAAAAGAAGGGCGCCGCCTACGTTGGGCACGACTTCCGCCTCATTTTTACAATGCGAGAACTCTATCTTGTATTTCTAGTATCTTTGGTGGAAGCTGAAAGCTAGCTAGAGTGTTCACTCTGGGCTGCGATACCTCCTGTCCAGGGATTGTCTCGAAAGTTCCGCCTTTTTAAAAATTGTTTTAAAGAAAATGTTTTTCTTGCTAATTCTCCACTAGACAACCGGGCAACATGAGGAGTAAATAGGCTAGCCCGGAGCGGTTTTTACTA